ACGATTTCTTATTTCCCTTTCATGCATTTTGTCTACAGCAGTCAATTTTTATGGTTTAAACTTAAACACCCGTAATGAAATATTTACCATTGCAATTACACATAAATATATCACTGTGAATGAAAATTATTTTAACTTAATTGCCGCCACACAATTTTCAGGTGTATAATATGCTTTCGGAGAGCAGAGGATATCGGGGTGCGCGTGATGGTGACCTTTTTTTTAAATATTTTGTTTCTTGAGTTATGAAAATACCGCCCTCCTTTTACCTCCCCAGAAGAGCCATGCATTGAGATGCATGGCTCTTCTGACATAGTGGCCGGCGACGTGTCCACTGGCCGTTTCCGCTCGTTCGCACCTCTATCATTCCGTCGCAATGTGTTTGATGCCGTTTCCTCACTGGCTCATTCTGGCATACGAGCTGCACAGCGACTCGTGGGTTCTCGGCAGACTTGTGCCCGTTACTTGAAAAATGTAATGGATTACAATCAAACTTTCCGAGCCCCCAATGTCATAAATTACCGTTTCAAATTACTTTGGCTGAAAACTAACGAATTACTTTACTCATTACCTTACAAATTACTTTTCCGTAACTTTTTCCGTACATTTATCAAGAAAACGATAAAAACAATTTTGATGTTTTCAGAAATGTCCTGCAACACAACTTTCCATTTCTGACACGCAGGAAAACAAGAAAAACACAATGGAAGGTGGTGGAAAGAGGCAGAGCCTACTCGACGTTGTCGTCTTGATCTTTGTTTTTTGTATATTTGTATATGACTTGCACGTTTTTCTAGTGGTTCTAGTTAAAGTCCCTAGATTTATGCTTCCTCCAAGTAGTGACATCCTTTGAAGCGCCGACAGCGTGACGGTGCAGGTTTTAGGAAGCGAATGGCAGCGCATAGCAGAAGTTTGAACTGAATGCCGCCATTTCGTTTCAGCGGAATGTGCTCTGTGATTGGTATTGGTTGTCGTTACTTGTAAAAAAAAAAAGTATCAAGGGACTTTAGTTCTAGTGACTGGTCATACAAAGAATGATTTCAGTTCGGTTGTTCCCCTTTTCACGATGTTTTCTATTTTGTTGAACTTGCTGACTTTATGCTGCTTGCCGGCTCGTATTGCTTCAGTTTCTTTACTATGTTCGTATTTTTAAAAAGTAACGAGTAATTAAAGCAAGGAGGAAAAGGTACGCAGGGGAGCTGGTTAGAAAACATAATTGAAAGAAAACCTGAGAGTGGGAGAAATAAAAAAAAACACGTGATATTCGTTTTTTTTTATTTGTTCCAGTCTCAGGTTTTCTTTGAATAATTAAAGCAATCCGTTACCAATATTTGCAAAACAAATTACATTACAAATTTCTGCCACGAAAAGGTAACGTGGCAATCACAAAATTACTTTAAAAAGTAACTGATTATTTAAGAAATATGTTACAAAGTAATTCGTTACTTGTAACGCATCACTCGCCAAGTCGGCCTCGGAACTATCGCGGACGTCAGAGGGCGCCGTCGGACGAGGAGAACTAACGTTTACTGAAATAAGCGCTACTCCGCAGGCACTAAGTAACGTATAGCTAATAACATTTTCTCCCCAAATCTAACAGAAAATTTTACCCGATGAAATGAGTGTGACAAATCCTGTGTGTTTTGCGATTGGGTGTAGTCTGTGCAGGATCTAGGCTGTCGTAGGTCCCGCAGCAAGGAACCCGTGATTGTTTCTGGTACATCCCCTTTATAAATTTATGAAACAAAAATAATGAGCAAAACTAGCTACCTTGTTTTAAGGGCACAATGGTGTCAATATTGTCGCAAATGAAAACAGATAGGCAAACGTAAAACTAAAAATAGAGGTTTAATCAGCGAATTTGTATCAGAAACGAAAGAAAGAACGAGCGTCAAGAAAGCAGCAGTGCGCGTCAAGGGGTCGGCGTCTTCTAGAAGTATAAAGTAACGTTCTCTCTCGGCCATGCACGCGGCCATGCACGGGGTCACGTGACCTGGGGGGTCACGTGACCGGGGGGATCCACGTGACCTGGGGTAGGGGGGGGGGGGGTCACGTGACCTTACAGTTACCCTGACGCCGACGCCGATGGCGACGGCGACGCCGCTCAAGCCGGAAACGGGCGCCTAAGAGCTGCGCTCTAAAAAACATGAATATGTTTTTGCATTGATTGATCGAAAACGTTTAATTCCCAAGTTTTCTGCTCCTGAGCATGTTATCCTGCATAGATATCGTTCTGACGATAAGTATGAATATAGTCTCCGCCATTGAAACGACTGGAAACATTTGACTGTAACTCTTGCATATATTTGTTGTGCGCATTTTATTATACTCCGCGGCAACTTTTCTTGGCAGTGCAGTGGAAGGTAGAGGCACGCGTTCCCTCTCCCATTTTGAGCGCTGAATAAAGCTGGGCGCGGGCCCTCCCTCTCTTCCTGGAGATGCCAAGAAAGGTTGTCGCGGAGTATAGTAAGTGCGATTAAACGGTACCTTGCCGCTGACACCATCGCTGCGAATGCAAAACTGCCCTGTCCTCACCATCGATAAAAAAACGGGCGTACGGCACTCAGTCGGCACAAAAATCTTGCTATCGTTGAAACGTTTTCTATAGTCGATGACAGGCTGAAAATTCAGTGTAAGCTCCGCCTTCAGCACGCACTTGCAGCCTTTCATCGGACTTCTGAAGCACGTTCGACGAAGTGTTATTGAAGGTAGAAAGCTCCAGATGACCGCGGAGCGCTCACTGAATGATTATACCCTTGTGACACGGGTAGACTTAACTTCAGTTACGCTTAGCCACAGTTACAACACAATACTTGAGGGCAACATTCTGTGGCTATGCGGTCAAACTTGCGCTTGAGAACATAGAACACAGAACATTGCTTTATTTTAAGTACCTTGAGCACCGATCAAAAGAGTCCACGAGCACTCTTCACATCTTCTGAAAGAGATATCCGTGAGTATAAGCGGTAACTGTGGTGTCGCTTAACAACAGTTAAAAGTGAGTTAACTCCGGTTAAGGGTGTCCGTGTAATACCGGTATAAGCCTGTCACCGAGTAAACCGGTAACCGTCACTTGAGGTTATGGTTAGGTTCCGTGTTCCTGTTCGATGTCAAATGTTCAATTTCGGGTTTGGTTTTATTACGGTTTGGGCAAAAATAACGGTTTTGGCCAAGTTTTCGGTTAATATTCGGGTTCGGTTCGACACCTTCATCGGATAAATACAAAAGTCAGTAAAAACAAAAAGGTTTATGGATCTATTTTGGTTATACAGTAGTAGTATAGAAATGCTCTTTCAGGACCGCTTCCGCCATCTGTCGGCCTTTGCGCCAGTCAGACGTGCATCGTTTGCAGACAGAATTCATAGGTATAACAAAAAAAATTAGTAGTTTTTTACTTTTTTTATAAGGGTGAGTCTTTCATTGAATTTTCGATGGGCAAATTCCAACACCTATGGGCCTCTCTGCTCTAAATCGCAGTCATACAACGAGTGGCGAATTATTGCTGTCAGTTTAAAATGGGTCCAGTCAGCGGGTTCAGTTGGGTCTGCTTAGTTAATGCCACCTGGAATAATCAAAGCCTGTGCAATTTGATGTCTCCACAGTAAGATCGAGCGAAGACCCAGGTTGGATACGAGTGCTGTGTCAGTGCTCGGCTGGGAACGGGCCGAAGGATGATAAGCATCGGGCTCGGGTTCAATACACTTATTCCAAAACTCGAAGCGCCTCATCGCGGCGTAATGCCACGTTATGCATTGTGGGAATCAGTGGGACGCAAAATTCATACGCGCTCCGCTCCCGGCCCACAGGTTCCCAAAATGCACCGCGAGCGGTGACCGGTTTATGGAAGTGGTTCATTGCTGAGTTGGCGCCATTCGACCGCGATTACGTTCCATGGAGGAAGAGTCGGGCGTTCGGAGGACTTCATTATTCTGGATGGTGTTGGTTTAGTTCAGATAAGACCCGTCCGCTTCGTTTGAATACTTTTGTTTCGCTTTTTAGGAGCGCCATGGGTTCCCCCTAAACAGCAAATAGTAAGAAGGGGGGGGGGGGGGGCGATCACCCGAGTGCACTCTACTTCGGGCCGGGATACAGCCGTGTCTTGATTCTCCAAGAAAGGTGCGGTTCTGGCCGTCGCTGCAAACAAAAGATCCGCTTCTTTCTTCGAGTTAACGAGTTTCCTCTACCAGGAGTATCTACTTTATGGATGTCTGAAAGCCAGTAATTATTTCAAGTTTGCTACATTGACTACAGCCCAGAAATTATTTTCGTAATGCGAAATTTCGAAATAAAATGCAACATACGATTTAAATGGAGATAGTAACCCTGGAGCGAGTGGACAAAAGAGGGACAGACAGGCACGAAACTTTGAGTTTCGAGTCGGAGTTTTATGTACGTCCGTCCCTTTTGTGTCCCTTCGCTCGAGGGTTACTATGTCCATCCTTAACCAGCTCGCCTGCCTACTTGCTTTAACTGAGATTTTTTCTTATATTTGTTTAGCAAAACGCCGGGGAGCCCCATAATGGTCATAATATATATATATATATTTTTATCGTAAAATATATACTTGTGACATACTGGAGGCTATCACCATGCCAGCACATTATTTTTGCCCTCGAAAAATATACCATAGAAATAGATAGAAAAAAAACTGAATATACCATAGAAAAAAACTGAATATACCATAGAAAAAGATAGAAATAAAACTGAAATGAAAAGATTCCTTCAACTTCAGTATTTCAATTGCTTGATACTGTAGTCACTACCGGCATAAGAAATACAGGCCATGACCTTTCATGTTGACCCTTCTTACTTCGTGATTGGTTCTTCAATCTTCTTAATGGCCAATACCGGAACCTGATAGGCTGTGGAACGCTAAAGAAATGTCGGGAACTTGCCGTGCTCTGCGGTTTTTAGGCTTTCAGTGACTCGAGGCGCAGCTCATTCATACATATAAAATGTTTAATATTATTAGGTTTTTTATACTTGCGACTTTTAGAATTAGGACATCCAATATCGTCAGGAATAAACGTGGTAGTCTTTACTTTTAGGGTAGCATATTTCGGCAGCACGATCCCCAAGTGCTAAAAAGCACTTGGGGATTGCCAATCAATATTTCTCTCTGGCTTGGATGGCATCTGTGGTTTCACCTAAATGCGGACGCTGAGAGTGTTATATCAATCGAGAGTACTGGCATCTTCATCGACTTCAGGAGTGACGTGGTCTTTCAGCATCGGATCTGTCTTCCAATAGTAAGTAGGGGATCCTTTGGAGTAGCACAAGTTGTCTTCTAGAATCTTGTCTCCATCCGTGTAGTACATCATGTAAAAGTTGCACATCTCATCTTCCGACGTAGGCCTGCGCACAAATGTAGTGAGATCGTGAACATTATACCGTTTCGATACACAGCAGCTTCAAAGGAACGGCAGCAGTTTGAATACTTCGAAACGTAAAAGAAAGGCAGCCGGCACAATTAGGCACAAAGTAATGTGATTAAGGCAAGCTAAGGGTGATTCACATATTTATTTTTGCGCGTGATCAACTGCGTTGCAACCGCCTGCGACCGCTCACGACGAGAGAATACACTGACTGGTGCCACCTATCGGATAGTCCTGGGAGCACTTCGATCTTCGCATGTTTTACGTATAATTCTTTGACGGTGTGTTTGAAGAAAATCTGAGCAGGTTATAAGTAGGGTTCCGCGTTTTCGGTATATATTTTTCTTCAGATTCGGGGGTTATTTATCGGTGTTTATTTTTTTCCTTAGAATCGGTGTTTTTCGGTGCTTAATTTCAATGCTGGAAAGGAATCGGTGATTATCGGGGCTTGTGTTGCAAAGCGACTGCATAATTACTAGAAAAACGATGGCACACCTCACATTACACACGTTTATTGTACATACACCAAACACGTTACACAATGCACATATATATGAAAACAACAGAAAGCGTGACGCTTTCAGAAGCATGATATTAAAACTTAAACTTTAAAAAAAAAAGTGACATGCACATTGTCAGAGACTTGTCAGTCATCGGAGCACGTTCCTTGCGGCTAAGGAAACGCAGTACAGAAAATGCACGCTCCACGTTTGCGCTTGAAGCGGGGATGGCAAGAAAATCAACAGAAGCTTTTAACAAGACTGGCCTCCTTGCTGTGGGCTCTCCGGAAGCTGCCAATGCAAGGACGCAATCCGTGGTCTCCAGAGGGCAATCCGTGGGCCCGATTGCCCTCCCCCCTTCCCCCCCGCCCCTCTTCGACCTTCCTTTCTCTTCTTTCTCGCATATACCAGGAAACCTATGCCTGGACAAAAGACTTGAAAACCGTTGTGCTAAAAAAGAAAAGGGAAGGTAAGGGTGCTAAAAAAAAAAGGTCGTCCCTTTCTTTTGAAACATTGTTTCAAAAGAAAGGGAGGACCCCAAGGACAGTTCAGTGGGGCTGTGTTCCGGGTCAACGAGAAAAGAAAGTGGGCTAGAAGGTTCTTTCCGCAAAGCTTTTTCCGCAGCAAAGCTTTTTCCGCAACTTGAATTCGGTGTTTTTCGTTTTTTATCGATTAAAAAAAGATGCCTCGGGGGTTAGTTATCGGTATTTATCGGTATATACCGGAAACACGGAACCCTAGTTATAAGTGACCCTTAATCATAAATAGTGCGTAGATTTTACTTCGCAAATAGTGCGAAACAAAATGCGCTCAGGAAGGTTTCGCACCAAATAGTGAAAAACATTCATACCAGATAAATGCCCCGGGGCCATTGTGCTCTCTCGTCCTAAGCGGTTAGACGCGAGCGCCACGTACTAGACCATCCTCAAACAAAAATGGGTGAGCCAGCCTTTACGTATCTGCTTGTGAAACATTTGAGATAACGGAGCCAATTGTGTTTTAACAACGATGTTTACACAAAGGTTCGTCTTACAATATTAATCTAAATGAATAGAAAAGGCGGCCTTGACTTGCCAAATCATGTATGAATAAAATTTGGTTTTCTAACTTTATCAACTGAGATAATATTTAAAGAATGCCTTTATTTTATAAACTTGCACTAATAATGATGTCGTTTAAATTTATTGCCACAGTAAATTCGAGAAATACTGTACACGGTGACGGTGTGATCCAGGTCAAGTGATTTGCAATGCGCGCTTTTTGTTAAGGTTACTATTCGTACGTGCGATTCGCACCATATAAATGCGCATAAGTCATTTGTCAAAGTGTAATTGAAGGTGAAAATAGAAAACACAGCAAAGTTTTCAAAGCAGTGGTTGTGCTGCAGTCGAACATGTTAACACAGCTTGTAAATAACCTCACCCAACATAAGTATCTCTGTTTCTGAAGTTCTTCAACGTGCAACGCACAGCCTGAAAAAAATAAAAACAGAATGAGCAATGTTGATATTTTCCCTATATATTATAAAGAAAGAGTAAATATTGGCATCACAAAGATATGTGCTAACTGGTACGTTGGAAGGAGCCTAGTTATGAAAGTCGCACAAGTATTATAAGACAGCTTTCACATTTCAAGAAATTGTTCCTATGGGCTTTTTTGTAAGACAATTTAATGAATATTTGAAGTTTTAAAAGTTAGGTATTTTAAACTTTTAAGTACGTCCGCATAAAAATTCAGTTTGTTTATCTTTTTTGTTAACAGAATGATGTAACATAAAATTCTGCGCAAATATTAATTTGGGACATCTGTATCCGACCCGAGAATCCCGATTTCGCATTTGCATCCTCAAACGCTGGCTTTAGTTGTAGTCACATTTGCCAAATTTTGCGTGGGATAATTTTTATTTTTACATTTGAGACCTTTAGCAACGTTTTGAATGCACGTGTGTTTGAACGAAATAAACCTTCCCATTGCTAATTGACACATATCGCGGACCTTTAAATATTTCGGCATTGTGCAAAAACAATGATGCCAACCAATCTTAGAGAGAATAAGTTCTACCGAAAGCATAACTCAAGTCAAACTATATAGCATCGGATTAAAAAAAATATATTAGGGGTCCTCAATCAAAAGGGGGCAATGGGGCTATCGGCAGATCGCTTTCTGTAAGCAGAAGAGTATATTGTGCCGAAGGAGACAAAGTGTAGAGCTAAGAAAACGTAACATTTCTTTCAATAACAATTAAACAAAGCACTTTCCTGTATGAGAACAATTTAACGAGACTAGCATCCTATACATCACATCGGGTAGTTCAACAACCAATTATTAAGACTCCCAAATGGTGACTTTCCCATGTTTGCTAAGTATTATTTCTTGCGTGTTACTAATATTGACTTTGTGAGTCTAACCTTTAAAGATTCGCGCTTACATGTTTGTGCTTGACATACTGTTTTTCTAAGGCCTTATTTGTCCCATTGAGCGAAAAAGTGGCGTATATGGCCATAAATATGCGATTGAGCAGCACGCGCCTCTCAATCGTATGCTCAAGGACGACGCTGTCCTTGGCGTCGTCCTTGAGGATGTTCTGCACTCTAAAAAAGGTTTGCGCGTCTACTTCCACGCACAACACTCAGAGAGCCAATCACCGCCACTTACGGAGGCAGCTCAGCGATTGACAATGCCGAAACGTATGTTTAGACAAAAAAAAAAAAAAAAAAAAAAAACGCAGTCTGAGTTGTGACATTACGCAATGCAAAACGTCACGCTTGCATTGCTTAATGTCACAACTCAGTCTGCGTTTTTTGGTCTATACATATGTCTCGGCATTGACATTCGCTGAGCTGCCTCCGTAAGTGGCGGTGATTGGCTCTCCGAGTGTTGTACGAGAAAGCAGACGCACGGGCTTTTCTTTAGAGTGTAGAGGTCGTCATAGAGGCAGTCCTAGACCATTAGGACGACGTTACTTGTCCCATTACGCAAAAAAAGCGGCGTCGTTGCGCCCGAAAGATGGCCATAAAATACGTCATCAAGCACGCGCCGCTCACGCTTTAGTGCGTGAGCGTGATGTCACCGCCGGAACGCCGTGTGCAAAAGCTGCGCTTCGGTCGTCATCTGTGCTCGGTGTGTGCTTCGTGCGATGGACTGTGAGGCGACCGCGTCTACATCTACGGCCTCGACATCGGCAGCAGCGTCTACATCTAAGGCGGCTTTCGAATGCAAACGTGGCCGCCCACGAAAATGCGCCAAAGCCTCCTTAAGTGTCCTCCTCTAGGCGTCGTTCACGACTTCGTCCTAGACGTCGCCCTCTATGCGTCGCTCTCGACGTCACCCTAGACGTCGACCTTAAGGTCGTACTAGAGGTCGTTTTGGACGTCGTTCTTGATGTCGTCCTCTAGGACATCACTCTCGACGCCGTCCTAGACGCCGTTCTCGACGTCATCCTAGACGTCGTAGAGGTCATCCTAGACGCCGCACATGGCGTCGATCTCTAAAACGTCGTCCTCGACGTCGTCCTATACGTCGTAGAAACATTACTCAAAACATTTCTCCCGCGGGACTATATTGTTTTCGCTTTTCTTAACTTTGGCACAGTGATTCTGTATATTTTCAGTTAGTTTTTTCTGTTTGTACACAAGGGAATTTCAGTTCTTTATTTATGTGTATGTTGTGTTTTGTGCTTTTTCTGTACGCTTACCGCTGACCATTGTAGCGGCCCGAGGACTATAGTCAAACTAGACACTGTAGCTTTTTTCCCTCTTAACCTTCACCATGGCTAATGGAATTATGGTTGTATATAATTTTAGCCTGGGTAACTGCAGCATTGTGGATTTCAGTATATACGTAAGCATGTACCTCCAAGGTACAAACTGTGGAGTCTCCAGTATACCCGGGTCCATTAAAAAATATGTTTGCATAAAATACGCTATCTGCAATCATTAAATAATGTTCCATTGCATCCACAGGCTGCATCACAGATACGAGAGGATATTTGCGAAAAATTTGCGGGTATGCAGCACTTTAGGAATAGGTTGTACAGCGTAATAAAGGACTCCCCAACCGCGGTAAATCAAATGACAATTTTAAATCAACACAATATAAACAAACTTTGATTGTGTTTTTACTTGAGGAAAAGCCTCTCCTTCATTCAGTCTGAATTAAAAAAAGACGATATTTTATGGGTTATTGAAGGTCCGTTTTCAAACATGTCTGTTTGCTTCCTGCTCATAAGCAACTTAGTTTATTAGGTTTTCGTCTCAGATGGTCCTGGAATTAACAATTAATTACTGAGATTAATATTATTTAACTAATTATGTTGAATGTGTAACACCTACCAGAATATCTCCCTTCACAATTGTCAAGCCTTTCTTCGCAGGATAAAACATCTGCAAAAATAGGTTATCGATTTAAAAACAGTAGTTGCGTGAAGCACTTTATGCTCTTAAAATGAAAGTGCCATGCATATCCGCGGAAGCACTAATACCGTTATTCATATTCTCAAGCTTTTTTTCAATTTTCGAAGACACCAAAGCAAGCAATGGACATGATTGCACTACTACCGTATTTACTCGAGTAATAGCCGCCAGAGGTCGGCATTTTAGGTCGCCCTCACTCACGCTCACCCTCACAGCCACACTCACCTAAGCCCCTCACTCACCCTCACAGCTACACTCACCTTCAGCACCTCACTCACCCTCACCCTCACAGTCACACTCACCTTCAGCCCTTCACTCACCCTCACTGAACCTCACAGCCCTCACGGCCCTCACGGCCCTCACGCCCCTCACGCCCCTCACTCACTCATGGCCCTCACGCCACTCACCGCCCTCACGGCCCTCACCGCCCTCACCGCCCTCACCGCCCTCACGGCCCTCACGGCCCTCACGGCCCTCACGGCCCTCACGCCACTCACCGCCTTCCCGCCACTCACCGCCCTCACGCCACTCACCGCCCTCACGCCACTCACCGTCCTCACGCCACTCACCGTCCTCACGCCACTCACCGCCCTCACGCGCCTCACCGCCCTTGTGGCCCTCACACCCCTCACGCCCCTCACGCACTGATGGCCCTCACGCCACTCAGGCCAGCTTCAGATGGGGCAAATTCGCCCAGAAACTTTACGTCGCAACACCAGCAACACGGGCCGCCCGCGATCACACGCGGCAACCAATTGCTGCAATTTGCCATCGTCATCATAAAATTTTATTTTTCTTGCACTATTTAGACACAATTACGCGTTATAAACGTGTTTTTATGCATTTAAATCTCGTTAAGAATACCAATGCACCTTTCTGAAACAGTTTATTTCCAAAAAAATGATTTATTTCAAACCAGAACCAAATCTTTCGATGTCATCATCACCGGCACGAGGTATCACGTGAAAATTTTGCGTCCCTGATTGGATGCAGCCGCGTCAAACGCATTCGAATTGCTCCGGGTTGCTTGCTTATTTCGAGCCGGACCCGATCTCAGCAATTCGTGTCGATCTAGGGAAAACTAGAGAACAACCCGCCATTAACACCAAAATTGCTGAGAAAGATGCTCGATCTGAAGGGGGCCTCACGCACTCACCGCACTCACGCACTCATGGCCCTCACACACCTCATGCGCTCACCGCCCTCACGGCCCTCATGGCCCTCACGCCTCTCATGCCACTCACTGCCCTCACGCACTCATGGCCCTCACACCCCTCAAGCACTCACCGCCCTCACACCACTCACACACTCACGGCCCTCACGCCACTCACCGCCCTCATACCCCTTACCGCCCTCACCGCCCTCATGGCCCTCACGGCCCTCAGGGCCCTCACCGCCCTCACGGCCCTCACCGCCCTCACGGCCCTCACGGCCCTCACGAACCTCACGGCCCTCACGGCCCTCACCGCCCTCACGGCCCTCACCGCCCTCACGGCCCTCACCGCCCTCACAGCACTCACGTCCCTCACTCACCCTCACACTCATGAATTTTCCTGGTTCAGAAACTCACTCACCCTCACCTCACCTGTGAAGATGAGGGTGAGTGAGGGTGAGTGAGGGCCCTCATGAGTGAGGTTTGCCGAGGTATGATAGCCGCACTGTTTATGATGAAAGCCCGAGGGTTCGCTTTTCCGTGGAGTGCGCAGATTGCCAATCACCGCGTTCGACAGCATGATTTCAGCTATTTACAGGACAGAGATAACGTCTTCGTGCCAAGATACCATCTTTGAAGATTGAATTTGCATGGAGAATCGTATTTTCGATCTGGTTATTGGCTATGTTATTTATGCGCAAAGCAATCATTGGTTCTATATGTGTTCTGTGGGAAAGCAGACGCAAGGGCCTTGTTCGTTAATAGTGCGGCTATTACTCGAGTAAATACGGTAGGCCCAGCGGTTCTTATAAATATGTGTGGCTCACTATCAATATGCTTTCACAAAACTACAAAGACGACATAATCACCAAAGTAAAGTTCAAACATCGCAACGGAATGCACAAGCCAAATGTTGGAGCCGAGAGGCACCAGTAAATCCCTGTCAAACGTGGCGAGCTCCGATAATCCCAAAAGGACCCCCGCGATCCCTATTTCACCGAATGTCTTCATTCATCTTTAATCTCAGAAATGAGCTTCACCACTGAAAACAAATGCAAACCAGACAACAAATTTAAATACCACATTCATATTAAAACTGCTCGCTATAGTTCGTCCATGCACTGCGCTTTTACAAAGCGCGAAGACCACTGAACAGAATATTTATAACCACACAGAACACACAAACAATTTCAAGCCAACGCTAGAAGACAAATAACATAAAACAAGTTCTGTAGTCGTGAGACGCGAAATTTATCATCACGGTGGCGGCATAATTAAAGGGAAGATGGGGCACTTCTACATTTGAGAAAAAACACTTGAATTGCGTTCATTTGGCCTTTAGATTAACAGATATCAAAATTGTATTTCAATGCGACGCGCCGGAGAGCCATACGAGCGATTTCAAAATAGGACTGAAGCCCCGCCTCCCTAGCCTTGGGCAGCCAAAAGAGCCGTCGATGACGTCACGGACAGCGGCTGTCTTTCGCATTTTTCTCGCGTTTAAGAATACTTACGCAGCAAATGGTTTAGGTATTCGGGCTCACGGGGTAAAAATACTCTAGAATTCACTTCTAACTCATTTTTTCCAAGAAGCTCCGTAGCTTCCCTTTAAGCTAGCCACAGTAGAAATTACCAAACCTAATGGGCTTTTAACATATATGTGTTTGCTGGCGAAAAATTAAAAAAAAAATATATAACAAACTTGCCTGTGGTTCGAGAGGATCGTGTTTACCGACATTAGTCCAGTTCCCATTTCTAACAACGTAACCAGTCACTGCCTTTCCTGGAAACATAAAAAAAATCATATTAAATTACTGTAAGTTCCAAAATTTTCTCAAAATAACGTGCGAACTCCTCAACTCGATGCTTACATACAGTACGTGACATTATAAGCGCGAACACAATTTCAGCATTTTACGCATTATACTCCGAAAGCCACTATTGGTGGTAATCATGTTTACTGCTTAGGTTAGTGGCGTAAATAAAGACTTTCTACACGACTGCTAGTTTCAATGATGGCCTTTTGAATCTTAAAAGAAAATCAGGGTTTCAAAAAACTGGGCAGATGTTTTGTGCATGATTCACGCGATGTCAGGAGATCACGTAACCTTGTGACTCACAAAATGTCATGCCGTCGCGTGACGTCACGTGACGCCATGGCATTGTGACTCGCAGAGTCACGTAACGTTATATTGTCATATGGCACCCTTACATAACTACGTTCCTACGGGTCTTATGCGCTTGTGAACTTCATAGATATATGTAGGTTCCGCGTTTTCGGCTTTTATTTTTTCGAAATTCGGCGTACTTTTTTTAATGTTCATTTTAAAATTCATGTTTCGGTGTTTTTTTAGCGTATATTTATTCCCAAAAAAGTTTACCTTTTTTTTTTCGGCGAATATGAAAGAAAAACTATCGGACACCGGATCAGATGATCCTTGTAGCTGTGATATTTGTGATCACTCTAAGAATAACGACACATATACATACGTGGTCTCCGCTACAACTTCCGTCAGGACACACCTCGAAATTGCGGAATTCGCGGGCAGAATCTTCAGCGCGCTTCTTTTTCCTTCCCATTCTGACGACGCGACCGTCTGAAGTGACGGCCGTACAAGAACCAACGGAATGACAAAAAAAAAAAAAAAAACTATTGTATTTATGTTCTCAATTACAGGGAAGTTTGAGAGAGGGTGTTGAAAAAGGTATTAGCGGCTTTCCTCGATGTCCTCTGAGGTGCATGAAGTGAAAAACCTTATACTAGCCCACATCCGAACTTTTTTTTTTTTTTTTTGGACCGGGAACTTGACACACTAATGGCGCATTCACACTGGAAGCGGATCCGCGTTCGCGAAGCGGTCGCGGATGCGGTTCGCGAGCGACCCCGTTCAGACACACCGAGAGGCGGTTGGCGGTTTCTCGGCGATCCCACGTGATCTTTTGAGACTTGCGTTTGGCAACCCTGTTTTACAATCCAAAATCCATTTTAATTCAACATTCAAAGCCAAAGTTTTGCTATTTCGGCACTCGGAATATTTTTCTCCGGGATGTTCGCGCGCATTACGAGTTCAGGCAGCGAAAAAAGAAGCATGGGCCCGCCACTTTAGGCCCGCCAAACTCGCCTGTGATTCCCTCGACTTCGCCCACAAGCAAAGCCCAGCGCGCCTTGCTGACTCAGAACAGGATGCCCCCGACCTTTTCTTCGAAGTGGACCCTTCCCGCATGAATAGCTGACTTTGTTTTCGGGATAGAGGGCCAGTTTCCCCCCCCTCGTTGTTCGCTCTTATCATTTTCGAAGTTGTGAGCGGTGGGGTGGACCGTGGTGCGGGGGAATGTGTTCGGTGCTAGCCGGTCGTGGCTTCGTTGGTGGCGGACTCGCCTCTCGTCACTCGCTCGTCAATCGAGTTTACTGTTTGTTTGACATTAAGTTCAAATAAACGCCGTATGGATTACCTCTGCATTGTCTGGTACGTACACTTTATTCCTTGATTAGGTTCCCTTTATTTATTTTGTTAGCAGGAAAAAGCGTTACAGGTCGAGCTAGCGCAGGTACCCTGCCCCCTCCGTGGTAGTGCGTTGGCTACGCAATCAGGCTCACGACGTCTTTATCGGCCTTCATGGTGGTCATGCACGGTGTCGACAGCTTTCAATAGTTCACGCGACTATCCTAGTGGGTAGAAAGGCTGACATTTCGATCGATCAGGGGCGTGTTCCGACGTTCTGCAGGCAGAGATTAACAAGGCAGCGAGCTTGGGCTGCGGCACCCGGAATAATAAACAAACTCTTACCCGAACCAAATCACCGGTGCGAAGCCCGTTAAAATTTTGAGTCGATTCTTTTCGCGGCGGATTCAAGTGACGGACGTGAGCATCAAGTTTCTCCGTTGATTTGTCGAAAGCTCAGGCTACAGCGCTAGGACTACAGCGCCTTGGACGCCTCACCAGCGACAGGTGCCATCTTGTTTCGAAAGTCACTGACGTCACGTCAGCGTCGCGTTGTGATTGGTTGCCGCTTTGCGGTTCGTGAAAGCGGTTGAGAGAAATCGGTCCCGAAGCGGTTGGCAAAAACGCGCTCCAACCGCTCGATCCTATCCGCTTTGCGGTTGAGAACGCGCGGGTCCGCTTCGCGAACGCGGATCCGCTTCCAGTGTGAACGCGCCATAAGCCCGATCACAGAAAGGACACAGATGGCTTGTGAAAACCAATCCAAGACCTCTTTTGTTACATGAAGCGAAAAATAGGGACTCTAACCAAAAATTTTAATAAACAATAAATGTTTATTAAAATGTTTGGTTAGAGTCCCTATTTTTCGCTTCATGTCTATTCCTAACCAGGCAGAGGGCTGCCACACGTTTACCTTGAAGTCTTTTGTTGTATGTCGAATCTTGTAAGAGGGCAATCATGAAGGTGTCACACAATGTCAAACCTTGAAAAGCCCTCTCTCTCTGCCCGCCCCTTCCTTCCCCAACCCACCTCGACGCGGCCCTGAAAAACTGACTTTTTTCGTTTAAAACCGAATTTTAGAAAACGAATTAGACATACTTTTTTCGTTTAAAACCGAATTTTAGAAAATGGATTAGACATACTTTTATCGGTTTTCATCGGTTTAAACTGATAACGCCGAACCTACAAACTGACATTTTTCGGTTAACACCGAATTTCCGAAAATGAATTCGGCGTACTTTTATCGGTTTAAATCGAAAACTCCGAACCCTAGATATATGACCGTGTAAGATATACTTGGGAGAAGAGCGCGTTGGTTTATGTCATGGATGAAGAAAGAATAAAACAATTAAAACAGGGACAACACAACCACATCTTTCATGATTCATGGTGAAAGATGTGGTTGTGTTGTCCCTGTTTTAATTGTTTTATTCTTTCTTCATCCATGTAAGATATAACGCTGAAATCTGGCGCTGGAACGTAACGTGACGGTTTGTTTATAGAATTCGGCTGATAAAACACTTTATGGCTTGAAAGCTGTCATTCTGTTTTGGTCATGCCTGACAGATTTTTTTTTTTTTTTTTACATAGAATACGCACAAATTTTTTTAAAAGGGGTTTGTTTCACAATAAAATTGCGTCGTTTGTACAGAGATAGACACTGATAGCGCGAACAAGCAATCGCCGCTTTAAGGGTGATGCTGGTTTTTAACTTTTTTTATTTCGTTTATCGTGCTGAAATTTGGAATTAAATTTGTAATGATCATTTCAAATAAGCAATTCGTTTCTAGATAGCTTTACTAGATCCTTGGTTATCAATGAATTTGTAATTTTAATTAGGTCCCTCATACGGGTCGTTAGCGTAAAATTCTTCAGAATATACTAAAAACTCTTATAGAGATGCATTCACCAAGACATGCTTTGTGCGGTGATGCTATTTTAAGCCTGATTCATTAATATTACATTTCTAAAAAAACATTTGAAATCAAGTTGCACGAAACGGGAGGCTATATATTTTTGAGGCTAATCAATTTAAATTATTTAATGACATATAAAGCAACAAAAATAGCATCACCGCGCGAAGTATGTCTTAGTGAAGGAAATTCTATAAAAAAATCTGATATATTCAAAAGCATTTTACGCTAAGGACCCGAAAGGAGGACCTAATTAAAATTGCAAATTTATTGATAACTCAGGATCTAGTAAAGCTATCTCAAAACTAATTGTTTATTTGAAATCATCACTGAGGAATAAATACATCGGCATGCCAAATTTCAGCACGATGAACGAAAACAAAGTTAAAGACCAGCATCCCCCCCTTAAAGTGGCGATTGCTTGTTATCCCAAACAGTGTATCTATGTACAAACGAGGCAAGTTTATTGTGAAATAGACCCTTTTCAAAATTCAGTCTGGTAACCTTGATTATTATCATCATCTCAGTGTATGGCATCTTTGCCCAGCTATGGTGAGGACATTTTTGAGGCTGATGAATAAAGTGAAAGGCACTATACCAAGCGGATGGTACATGAGGCCTGTACTTACAAGACGTCAGTACGCACGAGTTAGATACAACAGCTGCGTAAGCGTTTATTTCGGAGTGTGGCTATATCGATCTCTAGGCACAAGTTTGGCTCTAAAGGCATTCGATGGTTTAAATTTAATTGAGGCGTTAATGGCTCGCCGCTTTGCACTGATAAGTTCTTCTGTTCACACTACATATAGTAACTCAAACAAGCCAATACAAAGTTGTAAGGTGATCGAAGAACCAATTTTCATCTGCCATTGACGTGGAAATGTGACAGTGCCTGATGAAGCAGAGTTTTATGACCACCATTAGTTTGTTAAAAGTGAATCTGTATTTCCAGCCACTAGATGACATGAAGTCTTGAAACTATTAAACCAAGTAAAAAAAGAAGAGAACTGAAGCCGCAAGACGTCGAAGCCATTGGAAATACGTAACTGCTTGAACTGAAAAGACGAGCTTTAGATGATTGCGCAGCACTAACAGTGAGCAGAAAGGACAATTTAGTTAATACTTAAAAGTGCAAAACGTGCCTATCCCTGCAAGGCTCATTGATTACAGTGCTAGGCTCACGGAATTGCTGGCACAAGCGTGTGATGCGTCATTTAAGTATTCAGAGAATAAAACTGTCAACTTTGGCTGTTATCTTAGGTCTACAGTAATCTGTGGTGAGTACTACAATATTTATACGTGTAATCTCACGTTCTTGTTCTGCACCTTTCCAATCACCAACACTTACCAAGTGCGTGAGTGTGAACACGAAAGGCAAATGGATGGAGAGTCACATTTTCGTTGATCCGGCAAGCCGCTTCGAGTTGTCCTGAAAGAGCACGGCACTGATTGGTTAGTCGCAATGAAACTCTTCTAAACGCATGCCAGTCTGGATCGAAGTATCATTCACCATGACTGTTTGCTGGAATCATTCCGCCGGTGTCGAAGTCATACACACCCGCTCTCCTCTTCACTCTAAGGTAAGAAAAGCACGAACGTTCACTAAACTCACCGATAAGACTAGATATGTTTTTCGCGTAACAGCGCAACGACATGAACAACGATGCATTGTATCTTTTAGACACCAACAGGCAGACGGGCTCTGAAGTCACGCTGCACCCGTGGCGCTGCTGTTGGTACGGCGCAAGCGCAAATGCTTTACTTCACGAGCACCTGGTTTTGAACGCCCGCGCGTTGAGACATAGACCAACCAGCGCGTCGGTCTATGTCACAATGATAAAAATATATATATATATTTAATGAGTCTGCTAGTTGTTTTACTGATGACAGAGTGTTTCTTGTGCTTCACGCCACTTCATGGACCAAGGGTATACATAACGTTATTGCTGACCCCGATGTTTCTTTTATTAGTTATTCAGAATATGTAAGTACAGCAAGGACTATATTGAAACCCATGCATGAATGACCAATATGTATTTTAAATAGTACTGTGAAATAATTATTTAAAAAATGAGTGCGTACCCTGTGTCGTTGCCGGGAACCACGGAGAGCACGACCCCTGAACTGTCCCTAGTAATTCCATCTGGATTGTACAAAACATGCGGAAATAGTTACCTAAAATATGAAGAGCCTGACCGATTTCGGTCGCAATACGATTACAAAGAGAAACACCTTTGTACGTAGTGTACGCCATAGAGTCGTCGCGTGACACGGTGCCATGACCCATCAAATCGGTGGTGGCTACGAGACACCGCCATGCTGATGACGTCACTCACTGTCGCTTCTTCGTGTTATCTGTGAGTTTTGGCGTTTTCTACCTAGCCAGAGTATTCCACTTTAGAACTATTAGCAATTGAACGTTAGCATGATATGCTTCGATAACGAGACTGAGCACTAAGTGATTTAAAAACTTCGGCACCTGTCCGTAGAAAGCTCAAACGTTCATCAAAGGTGTAATTTAGTGACGCATGAAACCTCGTGAAATTCCAAGGCGTACTTTCGTTTCTGCAATATATGAAAGCAACAACCCAGGTTGGAAGGTTTAGCTTCGACACGGACGGAAATTTCGCGTCGAGAGTTGTGTTTGACGCCGCTGTTACCAGGTGACACAACGAGTCAATGAAAGCAGACGACACAACCGAGCAACGCGTTTGCGGCACATGTGCACGAATTGCGTTCCCCCTCAATTTTTCTTTTTTGCGCTTTTAGGGTGAAGTTATACGATGCTATTTCTATATGTATTTTTTGATCGATTACCGCACCACCTGCCGATAGCCGGGCCAACCAGAATCCTCGGCGCGAGTAAATCCTGCGCAGAGGTGTCCCTCTTATTTTTAACAGAAACAGAGCTGGGATTTGAACTTTCTCAACATATCATCCACCCCTCAAGCCGTTGACTCACACACATATTTGGTGAAAATTTAAACCGTTTCTACGTGCAAGCACCGATTTTTGCATATTATTTTACGGCAAGCATAATTTTTCTAATATCACATTTATTATTAATGTACCAACAGCATCAACTCTAAGCTAGAGAGAGTAGAAGAAAAATCATAAACAAAAATGACAACTTTGAGCAGAATCTCTGTGGAACCACTTTTTAAATGTCAATGTGCGCCCGTTTGCTATATATTTTTTCTTTTATTACGATAATTTTGTTTGGGGGGGGGGGGGGGAGGAGGAGGCCGGGAAAAATATTCGATTGTTGCAAAACAAAAACGTAAATCAAAGCCAATGAAAACCAAGCATTTAGGAAAACAACAAAACAAGAAATTGTGTTGCGTGTTTGTTTATACAGCTGAAAGCTAGTCAGTCTGAATGGGCTTCTGGTGTCTCAGGTGTAGATGTCGAATTGAGCCAGTGCAGTACAACCGCTAGCCTGGGGTCTTTAACGTGCACCACGCAGTAGTGATACACGACCGCACCCCGGTACGATGCCCTTCCGGATCGAAACCGGCAGGGCGGGCATTGAACCCAGGATGCCTGGGTTCTGTAGCGCGTGCTCCGAGCTGGTGTGCGCAAGCCCACTTGGCCACCGACCTTTTCTTCTTTTTTTTATTGCAAGATTTTGACTGTGAACAAAGATTCATTATGCACGATAAATTTCACTTGAACATGTACAATAAAATATGGACGAGGCTAGTGAATATGACGATAAAACGCCGCCTGCAAGGTTTTGAGAGGCGGTGAGAATTGTTAAAATTCTCTGATCATCGACAGCATCAAGAAGGCAGGCAACCACTCGAGTTCCAGACACATTTTCTGGTACACAGATGCTATTAGGTTGACATTTTCAATGAAATAATACCGTACGGAACGGGTATCTAGACGCTTTATACAAGAAATAACTAAATTGCTTCATGCTCAGCTTTGTAGAGAGAAACAAATCGTCAGAAAACACCAGAGTGAAAAGTGCGTAAATATTTATATCTTTATTTTTGTCGGAAAAAAGTGAAAGACGTTTACAATCCTTTGTAGCGCCAAATTAGAGCGCAGCTCTCGAGGAGGAGGGGGAGGGGAAGGTATTCCCATGTGACCTCGCTCGTGACCCTCGTGACATTACACGTGACGTAACGTGTGACGTCATTATGAGAAATGTCCCATGATTCAATGCGCGGTTACGGCGACGGCGACGGCGCTCAACCTGGAAACGGGCGCTTAGAATCTGGGTTCTAAAATATATATATACATTCGATGATGATACACTAATTTCTAAATAAATGTTTAGCGGTGGAAACGTCTTCATAACTCATATTTTAAGTGATCAAATAGCATCTGTCTTAATAATACCAAAAACACGCTGGGACAACGGGGAGCAAACGCGAAATTCTTTCCCTCTTCCGTGAAGTGAGGAGAGGATCTACCCAGGCCTTGTCTCGATTATACATTGCTTGAACGTGACGTCATCACGCCTAGCAGATGTCCAATCCTACTTGCTCTTGCCGAGAAAATGCAAATTTGATTGGACAAAATGTATGGTCCAGAAGCCATTTTGGTGTTTAAGATAATTGTTGCCCATTATCTGAAGTTTTATCTGAAATCGCAGGAAACGGGTTTGTCTTCTGGGGAGATGTTGAGACGGTCCGCGACAGAGCAAAACGATAGGGACTTCTAGTAAACCGTTAGCGTGTTCCGCGTACCGCGCTACCGGAGCCTTTGAAGCATGCTTTTAATAAGTGCTCGCCCGGCTGATACCGAGACCGCGGGGCGCGCGCTTAAAAGCATGCTTCAAAGGCTCCAGTAGCGCAGTACGCGGAACACGGTAACTGTATCCCCCGGTATCACCCGGTATCACCCGATATCACCCGATATCACTTGAGTGTCTTGACTCTGCATGTAAAGCTCAAAAAGTCGCATTTTCGAATCGGAAGGATCAGCGATAGATTTCGTGGAAAATCGAAGCTATTCTAGCGGGTGTAGTGACGAGCAAAGGCAATCAAGTTTGGTGAGACGCGTCGCGCCCTCTAGCTAAATATATTTGCAACACTGGGAAGGCCCTTTCGCCAGTCCTGCTTGCTCGTTGGGCTGTTTACGCATCACATCGTGGCTGCTGATCCGAGAGTTTTTTTTTTTTTTTTTTTTTTTTTTTTAGCAATATTGTCAACCGTTGCAGAAGAGCAAACGTCAAAACTGTGCGCACTGTTGCGTACCGGACTGTCGCAGCTGCGGAAGTGCAGTGTCCGCGAAAGTCTAGCACGCGTGGAGCTCCGTAGGTTCCGGTCGAGGCCGGGGAAATGCAACGTTGGCATAGATAAATGAATGTCGTAAAAGGTCCAATATAAGCATTTCGTTGGCATTCAATTACTCTGGATGAATTTCTAGACTCGATATTTGGAATTAATGCGCTCGGTGCCCGGCATGGGCTTTCGGTTCGATGTGACGACTTCGTAGAGGCAGAACAACCTCTTGACATCCTCACTGCTCTATGCTTCGCAGACACATCTTTCTCGAACGAGGTTTTGCGGACGTTTGAGAGCGTCCGAGGTTTAGCGAGGTTTAGAGGAGTTTGAGTGTAGTTAGTTAGCGGAGAGAGCGTTTCCTCCACTTCGCCAGTTGCATAGCGGACTGTCTCTTGCGTCTTTAGCGTGTTTGCGTAGCTGCCTGATTGCTGCTCTATTTTGAACCTAGTCTACGGTTCTACTTTCATCCCCGCCGTAGGCAAACGGTCTACTCAAGATATATATATATATATATATATATATATATAAAACAGAAAATACGTAACACAACAAAAGGTTATGCGTGCGGCGTTTATTTGAAGGAGTATCACCTTGCGACGTGCAACTGCGTACTACACCGTCCAAACTACAACCAGGTCACAGGAAAAACACATGTTTCGGACACCACAATCGTCTTCAACACAAGGACAGGGGGACGGGAAAAAAACTGATCCGCAAATTGAGGTCAGCTTTCAATCATTGAAAATGAGAAAAGACAAGCGCCGAGAGACTAGGACAAGGTAAGAAGACGACGACACAAGGCGCACTCGCAACTGAAGATTTATTTATGAAAAAAACATAGTCTTATATACGTTTTTAAAAAACACCCACGTCATTTTCCACGTGCCCACTCTTTATCCAAGAATAGACGCTCTTTTTCTGACAGAGTCACTTTTCCCATTATGAACCAACTGGCCCAACTCACCATTTTGTTGCATTGAAAATGAGACGGGGGGAGGGGGGAGCTTTAGTTCAACCTTTGTGGCTAAGTCGACGAATTCTTTGCTTTTGTATGTTAAAGGCGCGCGCAAACAACCTGAAAACATGCCCTTGTCTTCTTGGCTTCACTGAAATTTGGCAGGAATATTTGAACGTTCAAATTTGTTCAGCAAATTCGCGTTTTGGGTTGTCTTTAGCTATTGAGAAGGGCACCTACTAAAACTCTGTATGCTAGAACCACACACTCACACACGCGTACACATATATTTAGCGTATAAGTTTTGAAAACAGTTACCAGTATCAACACAACGCTCGAAGTTAGTAATAAAAACGGCATCTCGCAAGCGTACGCCGTCGGTGCTGCCAATTTTAGCCTTCCCAGTGCTGCCTCATATGACCACGGTGGCGCTGGTGACCAGCCGACGGTGGCGCGCTCTGAAATCCTGCCCAGCGCCTATTGGCTACGGTTTCGGTTTCAATTTGCAAACCTCAATTCACCACGTCCCGTCACGTCCAAACCCAGTGCATGCATTCTCGAATATCGTGAAATGTATAAAGCTGCAGGTGTTGCCTAACAATAACAACAAAAATTCTAGAAAACATTTGTACCAGAGTTTGTCCGCAGGTAAACACAGGAAGAAATGTACTGTACCGATCATCCTGTTTCATCATCTCAGTCTATCAGGCGTCTTAAATGATCCGCGACCCGGAAAGGTCATGTCACACTCTGGAGTTGTAGCCAGACTGCCACAAAGGTATGGAACGCGGCAGGCCATACTCCTAGTCCTTCTAAGTCTAGGCAGGTCTTTACGACCGCAGGAGGTCCGTGTTTCAAAGGGGGCTCTCACAAAGATGAATGGGTGCAATGCAAGCAAGCGCTAACTTTATCTTCATGCAGTTCTGAGATGCCCTACTTCGTCAACGGTACAATCGTAATCAAAAACATGCCACTCCTCTTCATGGCCAAAGAGGTCGCATGATGCAACGCGCGCAGTGTGCAGGGATTTTTGTAAGTAGCTTATTGAGCCCGCTCTCCACAAAGGTGCACAAAAATGGCGTCGCCCACAAGTGAATCGGGGAATGGGGTGCCGGAGCTCTTAGCATAGCTCATTTGGTAGCTCTGGCCCCCAGGAAGGCCGTAATATTGTCGTCACTGCAAGTAAAGGATAGGTTTGGAAGGGAATCCCTTCCAAACCTATCCTTTCTCCTATTTCTATTTCCTATTTTCTCGAGTCAAACAATATAAATAATTTTTTTTTTAAATACCAATGAGTTTACAAACAAAACGAAGGAGTAACTCACCCTGAAACGAAGTAGTGTCTGCATAATGAACTTGAATTACGAGGAAATTGACACCACTGTTGCCACCGAATTTCAAGCCAACGCCTGTAAGAAAAGAAGCTTTTAATAAACGATTATAATCCATGCAGAGGGGAACAAGGAGGACAAAGGATAAACACCAAACACAGCTAGATGACTGGTGCGTGCAAAAAAAAAAAAAGCCTGGCTTTGGCGTTGACGCACGGATTGCTCCATTTCCAGTGGAGCGCGCTACCAACTTAGCTAACCAGGAGTTAGACGTCAGGAGCTTGCTGCACCGTTGATTTTATTACTCTAATTTTATTTCACCAGTCTTATCTGGTAAACATGTTCATCTGCTAAAAGGCCGAAATTTCTCATGTTTGTTTACTTAAAATCTAGCATAATAATGTAGAATTTACTTTAGAGACAGTTTAAAAAGACCAAGAAAATGTTTTTGGGGGTAAAGCTTCTCCGTCTTTTTGTAAACAAAAATGCATAAAAAAAATTGAGACAAGGTATCAAAATCAATAAAAATGCATGCGTTTTTTTATTAATGTAGTATTTACAGTATAATTATTATTGCACTTTCAGTATTCGATGAAAAAGATCAGTTACAGCATTTATTCTTTCAATAGTTATTTGCCTGAATTAAAACGTAAACGGCCTAGTATTATACGAGTCGGAAAATTATACAATTATATCTCCTTTTCTAAATACGGCAGATTTGTTAAAACACCCGGGTCTCAATCTGTTTAATTACCTAGGTAAACAGAACATTTATTCTCTAATACAAGTAAGACAAAAAAGCAATCCTCTGGTCCGGAAACTTATGATGTTAACGACCCCGACGTGCTCCGATGACCGAACCCAAAAAGCAGTAAAGGAACACTGACTCAAACGCACCTCGGAAATTATGAAATCCTCACACTGTCACTGTGGCAGAAAATATTTTAATGTAGACAGAGTGGCGTCACAAGGGGGTTGGGGGGGGGGGGGGGGGGGGGTCGCGGTTCTGGGTGCCGCCGTCCCTTGTGATGCCACTGGGCAGACGCGGCTCGTGGGTTGTGTTGGACAGGAGATGTAAGTGTCACACCTTGGGCGCCTCAATGTCCTTCTGTTTAGGGTGATGCCACCCTTTGTAATACCCGATGCCGACAGCACGCGCTCACGGGGAAAATACAAAGAGATAGACGAAAACAAAATGTCGCCATAGTACAGTCAACGCCACAAACGCGTGCAGGAACACGCTCTTTCACGCGCTTCTGAACATAAAATAAAAATAAACGTGTGGGACAAAATGGCAAGGTGCCACCACTCTAAGCAAAGCGCACATGAAGGCACCCTAGTCACACCCTTATACTGGTTCTCTTCAGCTGTGTGGGCAAAAAACATACGTTGCTTGCTTGTTTTCGTTTAAATTCGATAGCTAGTGCTGGTTCTTGGCGGAGCCCAGTCAAACTTTCTCCAAAGCGATCCCAGCCATTACACACATTGTGTGGTAATAACATGCCCGTTTTTCAATACCCACCCCAGCCCGTTTCGATCGGGATGAGCATCGGATACCGGCGTGCGCTTGTGTATCACTATTGCTTGGTGCACGTTTAAGACCTCAGGCTTGCGGTCGTACCGCACTGGCTAAATTGATCAACTACCAGGGTGCCCCCCCTCCTCAAAAAGAAAAAGAGAAAGACAATTACAGGTTTTTTTTCTCTTTTTTTTTTTTATCGCAAAAATAAACTACGCCTCGTCGAACGCTCCTTGTCCACCCAAAATGTAGCGCTAGAGGCTCGAACCAGATGCTAAAGTTTCAGCGTGAACAGATAATTAATTCAAAAGTTCTAAATGATTTTCTGAAAATTTCAATCGGAAATTGGGCTCTGTTTTGTCCCATTTTCGGTTTCTGGCGCCATAAATCTCCATGCATGCGAAAGCTCCGTAGGTCCCCATTTTCCCATTGAAAATTTTAAAAACATCACTTATAACTTTTGAATTAAATACCGGTTCGTGCTGAAACTTTGGACCCTGGTTTGGACCTGTAGCGCTACCTTTGGGCGGAGATGGAGCGTACGCGAAACGTAGTTTTACGGTGAAAAAAAAAACACCTGTAAGTTTTTTTTTCTTCTGGGACACCCTGTACAGTTCAGAGACAAGTCGCCTGTTGAGGCAGACTAAGTTCAGGCTGCATAAACATACACGCACGAATTTTAATTTACATGCCCTTTTCAAAAGTACGCAGCCTTCAGTAAATGCTGTGTCGATTATCTGAGGCCGCCACATTTTCGGTATGCACTTCGAGCACGCATTGGACACGAATGCTGCTGCGTCAGTGTTTTCTGCGCGTGCTCGGGTCTAAATATATTCGGCCCAAGTGCTGCGTCATCACTCGGCGTGAGCTCGGATACCCAACACACGTTACGCGCAGGAAGCGATGCTCCAAAGGTGGCGGCAACCAGTGTTGCTTCATGGACTTATGAAGGGAAGGTATTTGGACGTTGTATTTATAGAGAGATTTAGTAGATTGTTAACCGATACCTCCGATAACGATACCCAATAACGGTACGATTTATCCTCGAAGGCGTCGGTGGAGTATCGGGTACCGTGATCGGAGTCATCGGAGTGATCTACTAAAACTCCCGTATACGTGGTTCCAGTACGGTCCCTGGATTAACTCGACGAAAAGCGGAATTTGGATGTTTTCAAACCACCGAGGACCCAGTTCACCTTCCTGTGCGTCACTACCGACGCTTCGTGGACGTGAAACACACAATTTAATTAAACTTAATTCGATTTAGTGGTACCTTCGGGTAGCTGCAGGGGTGGGGCATTTCTGGCCCAGCCGTAGATGACCTGCGAGCCTGTCTGGCAGATGGGGCCCTTGGGGAACGGTGTCCGCGACGTGGACATCTCGTCGCAGTCCCACACGACCCTCGGACTGTCCCACTCCCGGTATCCTGGCGTCCGGCATCCGTAGACGAGCATGTGGTGAACCAGATGCATCGTGGCGTTGGGCTTGAAAGCCACTGCGAATGTACGATGGCAAGCAAGATTTATCAGGACCTCATAACTAGGGAATTCAAAATGTTTGCTTTCTTCCAGTATATTTGGTTCACTAAAGTCGCAGGCTCTCTTACAAAAGAGACGGTGCTTTCGCTGCAAACATGGTGAAATAAGTACCCGAGGACGCGTCTCAAGGATTTTTGAAGGATGTTCGCTTTACACATGTTTCGGCTCCGAACATATCTGCGGATCATTTTTGTATGACCAATATTACAGGACCGCCATACAAGCAAGAAATGCGCCTCAGACAGTAGAGAGTTTTAGCGAACCGTTTGTGCACATCCGATGCGGTACAATGAGCTGTCCGGTAGAAACTGCGCACGTCAGAGTCTTCTGTGGCAGCGCATGCGCAGTTCGTACCGGAGGGTCAATCGTACCTTATCGGATGTGCGAAAACGGTTCCCTAAAACTCCCTATTGTTCGTGCTCTAACAGATGTCTGGAGAAGTGGACTGAGTCGCATTCGTGAGTGCTAACACGATCAGAAGTTCGTATCGTGGAAAGAAGTTCACCGCTCGGTTGTACGCGTGTCCCTGGTATCACACCAGCAAGTGCAGAGGGGTTCAAGTGTGACTTCCACGTGTGAAACTGAAAACTTAAGCGTTACAAGTCAACGAGGCTGGTTTAAAGACTCGCGGTTGGTGACGATCGAGTGCGCTGGCACCACACTGGCACGCTGCCGCCATCATCTGTGAGGCGACCCTGGAACTGCATTTCACTAGAATGAAGATTTTGCAGTATATGCGAGGTAAAATGTACGCACTGTTTATAACAAACGGTCGTTTCTAACACTCCTAAAATATGTTTAAGCACAGAAAAGAAAATGATGTGCGAAAAAATAAAAGAAGAAAATACGTAAATTATGAGTGTTTCAGGCTAGCCAATAGATGACGCTATATTGTGTTCTCTCGTAGCAAGATATCACAAGACTGCACAACGCACTCAGTTGCTACCAAACAAACGCAAGTGTGTGAACCAGTGTAGCACTCAGTTACAAACTGTAAAAAAAAGAAAAATGTTTCAATAGAAAATTGTAAAACGAGCCTCTAAATCTTACTCCAGTACCATTCTAAAGATAACTCTTAAAACAAGTTTCTTATGTGTTCTTAATTTGAATCTGGCGCGGTGATGTCAATGCGTTTCAAAATGGAGCGAAACAAAACTTGGGTGCTCACTGAAGGATCAAAACACGTTCAAATTATGTTCAAATAAAAAATCTGACACAGAATTGATACTGTGGTGCTCAGAAAAATATGTCCTATGGAGCTAGACTTATGATTATTCTTTTACCAGGCTGGCCGATAACATCGATAAATACATATTTATATGGCAAATCTGACAAAAATAAAGTGCATAAATTTATTATGTTAAACAGATTTGCTTCCCCGCAGGGAAATATTATTACTGTCTTCATCGCACTGCCTCGCAAGAGGAAGGGGCGAACTCGCGGGAGGATCTAGCTGAAACAAACTTGCACACGCTACATGAAAAGTGCAATGGATTGCAATCACAATTACTCTTAGTTAAAGTGTATTCAATTAGATTATTCGATTATTTGAGAAAAAAGTAATCGGCCGTTATTTGGAGAAAAAAAATGAACCGCTACTTTTCCGATTGCTTCAGTTTTATAAAACGACGGATTTGTCTGCTTATTTAAAAACGAATCTTTCGAGCCGTTCAATATTGGATTAGAATCATCGAACTAAAAACTATCTTCCAAACCTAGCAATTTAGGTACATCCTCCTCCTCTTTAGGGACTTGGTTCAAGCATTCCTCGGTGGGAAACTTGTACAAGCAAAGGGTGTCATTGGGAAGAGGAGGGGAAAATAGCAACGGTTACTAGTAATTGTATTACTTCCAAAAGTAATCAAAATACTATTGAAATTACTTTCTAATACATAAATTCGAAGAATTACAAAATTACACCGGAAAGTAATTGATTAGAAGTCATTTGATTACATATAGCGAGTAACGTACAAGCCTGAGCTGAACAGAAGCGGACAGATGCCTGGTATGACCGTTATCAACGAGCTAAAGAGATGCTGGAAGAAAGAGAGGGACGTTTGCTAAGCATAAAGAAGCGAGGAGGGCTCCTACTGGGCTATGGAAAAAAATGTGAAGAGATTTGATGCTTAGATGCTCGCTATAGACCTTTGCATCGCTTACCACCCGGGCAAAAAATGCTGAGTCACCGAGCTGTGGACGCGTGCTCAAGGTCTGATCTACCGCACAGCAGAGCAACAGCGCATGCTCAGAAGGCCTTTCAGAGCCCAGCAGACGAAGATGGCAGGGCGCTGAAGGTTATTTTTCACAAAGGTCTATAGGGTTCGCTGCGAAATAATCGGCGGAATGTGGTACACATTGAAGACAAGGAGTGCTATGACATTTTGTTTTTGGCCCGCAGCGAAGCACCGCAAAAACGCAGCCAGTTTTTCTTTCAAGAACCCGGTTAGATAATCAGTAGTGCAAATGTACACTTACCGATGTACTTGTGCATTCTTGAAGCGACGCGAAAAGCTGTGCAGAGATAGGTTTCGTTCTGTAAAAGTATAAAAACGCAAAAATCAAAAAGTGCAAAAAAGAAAAATAATAAAATAGTCCCTTACAACAGGGGTCTACAAACATTTTTGCTACGGGGCCACATCAGGGATTTGTCGCTGTCTCGAAGGCAGACAAATAAATATGTAAATATAAATAAGGAAAGACTAATTAAATAGTCCTAAGTAAGCAATATACTAAATACAAATCTGAAAGTTGGAGTAAAACTTAAAAAAAAGACGAATATAAAGTGGATGAGTACACCTACAGTATTTGTAAATCTATTATTTATTTACAAACTACGACATTACACAATGGAGGAGTACCCGGAAAGCTCATGAGGCATACATCATTTCGCATAGGAATTTTGGCATGTTCAAACAGGGCAGGAAACTAATGAAAATGATAGAACAGATGCTGAGAATATGCAATAGATAAAACAAAGGCACTAAGCACAATATACATGGGAACGCGCATGAATTTTAACATATCAAGTTACACAGATATGAAGTAGGGAATAAGAACGGTGATACTGGTGAGGACGATATCCAGTGAATAATAGGAGGAGAGGTCACGTTTTACAATAAGCAAATTTATCCCCCTTTTTTTCTGGCAGGATTGGGAAGTATTGCGATTGTACTTTATTAATTATTTCGAGTATCTATTTGTGCTTCGAGATACTTTGAAGAAGGGATTTGCATATCAGTAGTGAAATACATTTGCGATGTACAGCTTTTGTCGCGATACTCTGCCAGACTTCCTTGTTGCGTTTGATGTCAGAAAATCAACTGCCGTTTTGTTGTTGTTGTTTTTTTTCGATAAACTGAACACAACCCTTTCTAGAGGAGGGAAGCCTAGTTGTCTGGTATATATCATAATCACCAAAATTTAAAAATAAATAAACAGAAAGGGTAAAAAGGAAAGGTGGCTCGAAAAGCGTTAATTTTGAAGACCAGGACAATCTCCTGGCCAGAACGCTGTTTTGCCGTGAAGGTGTGCCTCAGATTTAAACATATCTTCACGGCAAAGACAGGGGTCAATTTGGGCAGACGTCTTTTCTCAAGCATGGAAAGTCGTTGTTGGTCTCAACTTTCCAGTATCTACGTGTGTCGCTGGGAGCGACAATGTTTTTGTAGCGGCGTTCGGGATACTAGAGTTGTGAACAAATGGAAACTTTGAGGTAAGAGGGTGCGCAAACAGACAACCTTGACAAATTCCAGCCATACCATATGCATTGGCCACGAACTGCACACTCCTTGCTTACCACTTTTCGTTAAATTTTTTTTTTCATCTCTATCTGTATTCTGCAATACCGTTTTAACGTTTTTGACGAAGTATATATTAGGGGTATCCCGCGACATAAAATTGAAATGTATATTACTATTTCTATCTTGGTTCTAAAGTACATCTATATCAGCATTTTGATACCGGAATACTTCATTGAGACCCTCAGCGCACCACTGTTTTCTGGTATCTTGATTTATACGGTTGGTGCGGCTTGCAGAGGCGTTTATTTAGGCGCACTTATTTGTGTGCCGGTATCAGCGGGCCGCGATCCGCGGATTGGGTTTCATTAGAAGGACCACGGCCTACTGCAGGCCGGGGTTTGGCGAGCCCTGGCCTAGATTTAAGAGAGATAGAGAAAGAGAGAGAGAAAAAGAGAGGAAAAGAGAGCAACTCAAACCATGAAGACCGTTTGCAGTTTAATGTCTGACGCTTCGTGAGCAGAATGCTTGCTCATGCGCATGTGTGCGCATGTACGTGGCAAGCAGGATGGCAGGCGAAAAGCTGAGCAAATACTTTACTAAGAGAATTCATCTCACTCCGGGAAAATCTATTGGCCTTGGCGCCGACAGGCTTCTCAAAGTTAGGATGGCTGGACGCACGGAGCCTCAGAATTTTACACATTGAAGTGGGAGGGGTAACTGCCGCCATCTATCGTCGTGAGCACCCGTCGAGGCAGCGGAGCCGTCTCTGCTGTCTTGGTGAATTCGGTATCTCGGTGCGCGGCGCCGGCGGCAAGCGCTTCTGGTCAAAACATCCATCGGGTCAGAACTTCCATCGAGTCAAAACATCCGTTAGGTCACATGACACCAGAGTCAGAACCTCCTTCGTGTCAAAACATCCATCCGATTCAAAACATTCATCGAGTCAAAGGTCCATCAAGTCAAAGCATCCATCCATGTCAAAACATACATAGAATCAGAACACTCATAGAGTCAGAACATTTGTTTGAGTCAGAACATCCATCCGAGTCAGAACATCCATCCGAGTCAAAACGTCTATCGAGTCGAAAGTCCATTGCTGAGTTTACTTATCAAACACCAATTTATGTGTTATAACTGTGAAACTGTAACAACGAAATTAAATAGTGTTTCTGCAGTTTAAAAACACATAATATAAAATACTTATGTTTCGCGAGCTCGATATTTCGCGAATTTCGTCAAACCTGTAGTGTTGGAGTGTATCGGGATTCCTAAATTTTGCAACATAGACTTCTGACTTATTTTATTACTCTAGTTCAAACAGTTATACATTTGATGGTCCCATATCATGATCAGGTGAGAACCTTTGAATGCTCGCCTTACAAAAATCTGCAAAGAGCGCAGCTTCCGATAGCTGATTTCATAGTGTTGACAGTTTGACCATTGTTCGTGAGGTCAATTTTTCGCGATTCGTAGGTAGTTCGTGGAATTAAAAAAAAAAAAAAAAAGTATGATCGCGAAAATTAAGTTGTTAGGAGTATTCATGAACAACTTAGTAATGCTGTATCTTATACGCGTTTTATCCTCAGAGCGTTGTGGTCAGTCACAGAAAGATGTGGCGTCATATAGCCCATCTCTGGATGGACAAACGATACGCCCGGTGAGTAGATGTCCATCATCTGGTCTGCCATGCGAGCCAGTGCTGTGATGGACTCCGTGGTGGTTGTGGTCAGGATCAACATGATTTGCTGCGGCAGACATTGGAGAAAAAGGTCTTGCACGATAGACGTGTCCATGGTCGCTGTCTTATCTCCGAGAGGTTGTTTCATCCGACGGATATGTTTGGTGGGTTTTTTGTCCCCTAACTCTTCGGCTGTAAGCAGCTGCTCAAGGCGTCGAGCCTCAGAATTTGCCGTATACATCGTATGAGTTTCGTACGTAACGCTTCGTAGGGGTGGTCTTCAGTCGGAGGGCGTATAGGTGGTTTTCACTGGACGCCATATTTGAGGTGACTGCTCACAGCGCATGCTCGGAATGAGTTTTTATTTATAGTCTCCCAAAGAAGACAATCTTGATGGTGCGCAATGCGCGTGTTGGAAGCGTTGGAGAACCTGCCGTCATCACGTGCTCAGGAGCAGCGGGCTCAACTATGGCCGCCATTGACTACCACCCATACGATGTCACGGACTGTGATTGGTTGTGGAAGAGCGGTGACTACGACTTCGTGAGGGACGCCCTGATCCGATGTGTACGAAATATTGACTCGGCAGTTAGGAACCACAGTTCTGAGTCCGAGGACCAAAACTTTGGGAACCTTGATCGGGGATGTAGTCGCCTGCATACCACGGTGGACGTTTTAGAAGACGCAGCCTCGAACGTCGACTGTGGAAAGTTGTTGATCAGCTCACCGAGAACACGGGTCCAAGCGACTTTCTGGGGGTTGATGTCGCTCAAATCGGGTCACCAATATGTAGTGAGATGACTACATGATATTTCCTATTTTTACATCTTAAAAGGTCTAGTCTGTGAGGCGAACCAGCCGAGACGAGCGTGGTTTCGAAGCTGTCCATCGAGCTCGATACCAAGCCTCGAGCGCGTCGTCCACATCCTATTCTTTTGCCGGCTGTTCACTACAGCAAGACTGTAGTAAGCAGTTTGAATAAGACCCGACTAGATACAACCAATGTTGTAGGCGTCACCAAAATAAAAGTAACGAAATACGTTACTTGTTACTTGCAAATAAAAGGAACGCTTTACCCACCTACGTTACCTCCCACTTAAAGAAACGCGTTACCGTTACCGATAAATTGTAACGCACGTTATTTTTTCGTTACGTTTTTGTTTTATTACGAACTAACACGTTTTATTCTTTTGTCGTTACAGGTATGCATAAGCGCCATATTTCAAGAAACCTTATGCCCACCCATAAACTTCACACCTCATCTTTATTTACTGTTCCGCCTAAATACTCACCAAAAAAAAACGCATAAAAAAAAACGAAAAAAAAACATTAAAAAGAGTATATAACTTGGCGCCTAGAAACACGAAAAAAAATTGAAGTGCAATTGTTTGTATTATTAGGAAGAATATGTAATGAGTTACGTAACTACGTTACACGTTAATCGAAGTAAGTAACGTAATTACGTTACTCGTTTTGTAACGGGTAAGTTACTAAGTTACAAGAAAAAGTAACGCGTTACCGGTAACGCTGTTACTTGTAATGGGTTGCCGCCAACACTGGTACAACAGCGACAAAGTGGGCAGCGTCACCAACAGTTGTGTTCTGGACACTGGTGCAATGATTAACAATATAAATCATATCATTTCATATCCTACAAACTCTCATAAAATAATTAAGGTTTCTTTCTTTCTAATTGATTTAGTGCAAGTATATTCCAAAAGCCGAGGAAAGTCATATTTCAAAGAGTTTTACTCTGGCTTAACATAACAAAACAAACTTTAAAAAAAATAAACAAAAAAGTGCAGTCTGGAACGAAGCGATTTACAGCGCGCACCCCTGGTTGTGAAAGGGTATGTCAGTGTTGCCCGACTGCGCTAGGCTAAGGTTTTCTTATCAGTTGGCTGTGGCAACCTGCGTAAGCGCACTTCCGAACGCTAGTTGAAGGCTAAATTGCCGCGTTCTATCCATTTTTTTTTCTTTTCTGTTCTATGGCCTATATACTTTCTCAAGGTTTTTAAGAACGCATTGCGCTATTAAAAAAAATGAAGGCTGTTTTGGTGAGTCTGTGCGCGACAGAACAAACACAACTGGAAGGTTTGTTTCATTTTATGTGCA